CAGAAATCATTGAAGTTTAATCTATTAATTTTTAAAAGTTTTAGCTTTAAGCCTTGACGATATATTAAAATTTTTTTGAATACAATTATTTTTTTGAACATAAAACGTCCCAACTTTGGCTCTCATCTAAATTTATTTCTAGTAATTAAAAAATCTTCAAACGATATACACAATCTAATCTGTGTATGTACTAACTTTTTTGAAATTTTCAAGGTTGTAGCACCTTTTTATGAAAAGATATAGGTGCAGGGAAACTTTTGTCAGGCACTGTAATTAATATAAAAAAAGTTTTGAACAAAATTTTTTTATCAAACTGTATATATTGAGCAGATTCAAGTTTCTTTGTCTTGAATTTTTTGTCTTAAATTTTTGCTTCAAATTTTTGGTTAGTACTTTCTGTTTGTAAAAATAAAACAAAATTGAGATAATGACATGAAATATATAGATAAAATATACTGTCTAAGTTTATTATAATAAAAGAAAATAATTTGATAGGCTATAACCAGTGTTGTTAATAAATATTGTTCACTAAATTTAATAGACAAATAAATGAATAAACAATATTTATTGGTTGTTTAGTTGTTTAGTATGACACAGTATATATTTAACATTGTTACCTATAGCACAATATGCATTTCCTATTATTAACTACTGTTGTTAGATAATAATTAATGAAAAAATATAGAAAAATTTTTTTTATTGAACGTTTTCTATTTTTTATCATGTCAAATTTAGGTGGTAAACCCAAACATCATTTAACTAAACATTTTCTTGTACTAGATGAGAAAGCTAATAGTACTAACAAAGCCGCTATTTGCAAATATTGCATCGATCATTTTGGTTTTCAACAGGTATGTTTAACTAGTAAGATTACAAATATTGTAAATTCTTGCTTAGCACATCTTTGTAAATATAAAATTTTTGCAAGTCAATATTCATCTGAAAAAATAGATCAAATTCTTGTATCTACTGCAATATTAAAAAAAAAAAACATTAAAATGAAATAGACCTGTTTCACAAGAAATTAATTGTGATAATACTAATGATAGTAATTCCTTCTAGTCATTTGTAACAAGCTTTAGTTCTATTACTGTTACAAATCCAAATCTGAATTTAAATTTAATTTGACGATTTAGTGATAAAGATCAATATATATTTAATATATTGCTTTTTTGTATAACAGTGTCAAATGGTTAGGTATTTAGATAGGTTAATAATTTGGAAACAAAGACTTTTTTTTTATGGCTTGGTAAATTTATTAAATTACCAAGTTGTCAATCATTATTAGGTCGAATTTTAAAAGATACTACAAAGGAAATTACACAAGCACAAGTTGCAATGGCGCAACAAGATTCACATGGTATAATAGTAGCCTTTGATGGTTAATAAAATATAATTAAGCAAAAATTATTAGGAATTATATTTATTATATCAAAAGCAGATATATTAGTTTGAGATACAGAAGATATTAGCCTTTCAAGAGAATGAACAGAAGAAACAATTAAACATCATGAAGAACTTCTCAAAAAAGCAAAAGATCAAAAGATCAAAATACATGCCTTTGTTACTGATTCAGCAGCAGAAAATGCGGCTGCAAGATTAGATTATATAATTATTTTATGCATATATATTAATATTATTTATTTATATATTAAATATAATAAATATTTTTAAAACGAAGACTTCAATTACAAAGGTGAAATTTATTATATTTACTTATACTTTGCTCATCAAGCGAATTTATGTGTAGCAGATATTTTTAAAAGTAATTCTGATTATATTAAGGCATCAAAAGATACATGTTTGATTCTTTTTTTTTAATTCATCAATATTTTGGCTTGGGCATTTTTGATATGAACAAGTATTGGCCTATAATAAAAAATGCTCTGCATTAATTTGTCCTAGTAAAACTCGATGGAATTCATATTATTATTGTTTTGATAGTATTCTTAAATCAAAAATAGCATTATGGATATGTAACTATATATACGTATATATATAGTATAAGATTAAAAAAATTATATATATTAGAATACTAATACTAATATAAATAATATTATATATATTGTAGACCTTCATTGAAAAATATAATATTAACAATACTCTTATTGAACTAAGAGCAGAAAAAAAAATTTTTTCTGAAAATATTATTACTATATTAAAAAATAAAGATTTTTGGTCCAATTTATCTCAGTTAAAAGAAATTCTTTAACTATTTTGCTTCGGTCTTGATAAATTACAACGAGATAATGCAAAACTCTTTGAAGTATTATATTGTTTTGGTTAGTTTATGAAAGTTATTAAGAGTTCTATAATTTAAACTTTCAAGAAACTATGATTAATCGTCTTGAATGATAATAGAAAACATGAGAACAACCTTTACTTCTTCTCTTATTTTACTTCATCCTAATTATCATCATGAGAAGTTTTCATATATAGCTAATATTAACTATGTTAGTTTAGATGAATAGATAAATTATTATTATTCAGCCTGGTTTGGAAATCCACCCAATTCTATCCTTTATGAGTTTGATATGTATCGCAAACAACAATATCTATTTGATATGGCTATGTTCAACAATTTTAAGGGCAACGTACTTAATTATTGGGAATTTGTAGCATCAAATTCTTAATTTAAGTTACCAAAACTTGCATATTATATTTTTGCAATTGCAGTAAATACTGCATCTATTAAGTGACTATTTAGTTTAATGAAGTTTCTTTATTCACAAAAAAGAAATCGATTAAATAATAATAAAGTTCTTTCTATATGTCAACTACGAGGAGAATTACATCACATGCACCAATTAACTAAACTTAAAAAACTAGAAGAAAAGTATAATAACACTAATACAAATAAACAAGCTAAACTCAACCAAGAACTTAGTAGTATTTATTCAAATGATATAAATAAAGATAATATAGAAACATTTCTTGAAGATTTGGATAATGAAAGTGAGGATGATAAAATTGAAGATGAAAATGCTATTAGTATTCCAAATCATTAGTTAAAAAATTAACTAGTTGCCAACTTTTCAACTAGTCGATTTGAAAAAATTTTAAACAACTAATCGATTAATCATTTAATTAGTACAATTCTGAGAAATTCTGTCTAGTCGGGCAGATCTGTATTAATTTCTTTGGCTTGATTGGCTAATCATCTGATGATGTCATGTGATGTAAACAATTGATTAGTTGCAACTATAGTTGGCAACTAATCGATTAGTAAAATATTTACCAACTTGGAATACTAGATGCTATGCAACAAGTTATTAAGAAATGAATTGAAATGTTAGAAGATGAAGCAACTGAAAATATTAAACAAATTAATGATATAATTATAAAAAACAATCAATTTTTAGATAAAATACTTACTCGAAAACATCCTTGCCAAGATTGTAATACAAAATAGCCATTAGAAAACCTGTTTATTGCTGAATTGGAACCGCCAATATTTATAAATAAGGTAATATTTAAATGCTAACATTTGTTCTTTGGCCAATAAAATTTGTAGTCAACACATAAAAAATTTTTAAATAATATGTATGTACAGTATATTAGGGTTGTTAATAAGGAGTTTGGTTAGGTTGAATCGTTTCTTAATCTACTTTAACTTGGGTTAGGCTTACTCCGAAGCTAGAATGTGAGCTAAGACAGGGTATTGATGAGACAACAGATATCTGTGTGTTATCAAAATTCTCTTGCTCTAGAGTATGTTACTCCATTAACAACCTTAATGTACATATATAATTCAAAATTTTATATATTGATATGAATATAAATATTTTTATACAATGAAAAATTGTTAAAGTAAACTTTTATAAATAATATTGCTATAACATAATTATAAGAAATGTAGCAAGATCAAATGTGGGTAGTATTAATTCTTTATACTAATCTGTTTAAATTCGATTTTATATATAGAATTTATCACAGATGTTTATTTAAACAAACTGAGGCAAATAAAAAAAAAATCAATTTGAAGAATGCAAATGTAAGTTTTCTCTACTTTTAGAATTTTTGGTTATATTTTAATCTAATTAATGCTCTTACTCTGATAATATATATTAAAAATTTTTACTTTACTAACTGTGGTCTAACAGATATGTATTTTTTCATATTAATAGAAAACTAAATATAATTCTGAAATAATTTTTTCAAATTTTATTAAGAAATAAAATATAAAAAAATTCTTTTACATAATCTTATGTTTTACTAAGAATAAAATATTTTCTTACTATGCAAAACAAATCTTATATTCTGGCTATGTATTAAAGCTTATTCGATTTTATAATATTATATACAATACTATATACAAGACCTTCACGTTAGTAGATCTGCCATGTACTATACTTGCAAAATCTATAATAACCAAGCGTAGTTTTCAAATATCTTAATGTGGATGCTCCCTAAAATTTTTCTTTAATGATACAAACTCTGTACTATACCCGGAAGCTATTATAGATTTTAAAATTGAATATGAAACCCGGGTCTTGTATATAGCAGTTCACAGTAATCGTATTCTTAATTTTGCGAACCAATTGGCTGAGTAGAAAGTTCTAGCTACAGGTTACCCTCATTAATATCAACCTATTTAAATTTGTTTTAAATTATGTTGATAGTGATATTAATGAGAAATCATATTAAAGTTGATATATATAGGGAATTTTGATATATAAAAATTTATAAAAATTCGTTTTGCGGCTTAAGTTGATATTAATGAGATTA